TCCCATCTTGTTACCTTCGTTCCCGCAAGAAAATGGTCGGACGGCATAGCAGTGATGCAAAAATACAAAACAGAAATCCGGAGAGATAGAGCCCTTTCCCCCCCCCCCCTTTTTTTTTCAAAGAACCCTTGAAAAATCCTGTGTTTCCCTCCAGTAGTTCTATTTTTTGACGAATACACCCGAGGACCAATTCAGCAATGTTCCAGTAGTTCTAATTCTGGATGGCTATACATTTCAATCTATGTAGCTCTGGCATCTGCTACTCAAATTCTTTTCAAAATTACGCCTCAGCCTAGAGACTGCTTCTAAACTGTACAAAGATCGCTATAAATTTTTGTCAATTAAGCTGAATGCTGAAAAAAAAGGCAAAACGCAGGCAGTGAGAGGTAAGCTAAGCTGAAAAATTCATCGAGGAGGAGTGAACAAACACCTTCCAGTTTGCTTTTCTTGAGATCGTTGGTGATGCTGTTCAACGTTTCCTGAAACTGCTCGTTGGCCTTCTCGAAATCGTAGTCACTTTCGAATTTCAGCTTTTCCTTCGACTGTGGTTTGCCAATTGTGCCTCCTCCTCCTCCTCCTCCTCTGTTACGCTGATAGCTGACGCCGCCTCGAGCATAGACGCTTCCGCGGTTACCATTGCGATAATTGTTATTCTGCTGTCCCTGCGCGTAAGCCTGCTGTACACCAGTATTCTGATAATTCAGCTGTCCTGAAAAAAAAAATATCAAAAAAACCGAACCTGCAAAAATCTCGCAAGTATTAAGCAATAAAACAGCGTCAAAAAATGTACAAAACTAGAAATAGATCCTAGAGAATGTATGTGTATGTGTGTGGGAAATATTTCACAGCTGGTTGAAAAATACATAATTTTTATGCGTTTTTTCTACCTATGCAGTGCGGAAAACGCATACTGACAAGAGGTTGTCTGTGTGTGTGTGTGTGTGCGCAGGGCCTCTGTACCGATTTTTCATCTCGAGACCTACAAAAGCTGCAGCGATAAAAAGTTGGGAACTTAATCTTCATGTGTGCACGGGCCCCAATCTCTAAAACAGGCACTCTTACTTGCACGGTACCCACGTGCGGGATTGCCAAAGTTTTTTTCGGGCAAGCTGCAAACTCGGGAACCTGAGAAGATAGAAGACTGAAATCTTAAGGAATTTTCCACGTTCACGTAGGTCTTAATGAGTTCACAACCAGTCCCCGGGCGTGTGTGGTTCCTATACACGGGCCCTAAATGTTTTCTGCGGATAAGTTGTTAACTCGAAAACCAAAAAAGCTAGAAAGCTGAAATTTTAAAAGGTTGTTTTCAGACAAATTCAGTGGCCAGTCTCAGTTATCTTAGCTAGAAGCATCTGCAGGAAAAACCGGTGCCGTTAGCGACAAAAACCAGCTGGGAACTATGCAAAAAACGCATCTTCACACCGACAGTCGGTGCGCTGGCCATTTATTTTCTTTGAAAAAAATCAAAAAAGTCAGATCAACAAATAATCCTTGAAATTCCGGGGAAAAAAACCCGCCCATTCAAGAAAATGGGATGTGTGCCAGCTGAAACAAATCCTGCCTGAACCGTATAAGAACTGGC